TATTGTGTGTTTGAGTGGGCATGTTAAAGGCGGCTTATTATAATTTTATGTCAGTATAATATCAGTAAAGGACAAATTTTATTCGTATTCTGTCTGTACATTTATTAATTTGAGACAATATTTTTAATAAAACTCAGTTTACAAACTTGTTGACATTTATTTATATATATATATATATATATATATATATATATATATAAAGACTATGTCCTGATCCCCCTCGTATTGAAGGGAGGCCCGTGCCCAGCAGTGGGACGTTAAAAAAAGGGCTGAATATAAAATTATACATATATATATATATATATATATATGTATAATATGTATATATACGAGTATATATAATATGTATTATATGAAAAGTTACTCAATGAAATTTTATTTCAGGCAATAAACGATACAAAAGAAAAAGTAAATAAAAACATTGGTACCATTTACGTAATCAAACTGGAAGATTGTTATGGGCTATAATGCAGCGAATTCACGGAAGAGCCATATGACCACCATGCGAGCTGTACTTGGGCGATCTCCTTATATTTGTTAAATCAACACCACCCTATAATTTTGATCGATATCTTTATTGACGGTTCAAATTTATTGATCATTTCTTTTCAAAAGTGAGAATGATACGGCGACTGCGATCGCTGTGATGTGTTGCCGCAAGAGTCGAGGCCTTTTCGCGTACTGTGAATATTGCTATTGGTTTCGTTTTTGAATAGCCTCTTTATATCAGATTGACCTACTTTATTTTGGAGAAATTGATACTCTTACAACATAATATTTTAACCAGATCGGCCTCAAACAGTCAGTACAAAATAAAAAAATATACAAGAAATATACCATACATATTCACAGTACTCTCTACGATGGACAGAGGATTTATTAACAAAATTTATTGACTGCTTTTAAGGCATACATTACACTCATTTGAATTTTTAGCAAATATAAATAAATGGCAACGGTAACTTCTATAGGCTTACAGATGTCTAGTCGTTGTAGAATCCTGCATGCAGGTGGTGCCGCAATGTTCATCGGGACGGTTCGCGATATGCCACGCGCTGTCTCTTGTTCGCTAAACGACACAGACACAGGCCGTATTTCATCGCTGCGCTTATCTTCAGCATGTTCCCTTGCTGACGATGATTTATTCCCTATTTTAACAACTTACAAAAGGTAATTTTAGATGTCGGTAATTGTTATAATGAATAATTACTACTTGTAAAGTCGTCAACAGCAGGTTTTCGAACGCTGTAGTAATTGCTTATACTCATTTTGTCGACTCTTTAATAAAACAAGTGCTGTTAGTTCCACTTTTTAACCGACTTCAAAAAGGAGGAGGTTCTCAATTCGACTGTTTTTTTATGTTTGTTACCTCAGAACTTCGTCATTTATTAACCGATTTGAACAATTTTTGTTTTGTTTGAAAGGGTATACTTCCAGATTGGTCCCATTTAAATTTAAAAAAAAATACCACAAATTTAAAGAAAAATAGCTAATAATGAATTTAACCTACTTCTAATTGTCATATTGACTTGAAACTTTGCAAGTGTTTCTATTTCCGTTGATAGTACAATGGTTTGGTATTGTTGACCTGATTTGATGGTAAAGCCAGAAGGTGGATAGGTGGAACTCTTCAACGGCTAATAGTAGATACTTTGAGTTTGGGCTTATTTTGTTTGATTCGACAAGCCTAACACTTTAGAATTCGTACTTTGCTAGTACTGTCTACACTAAAAAGGGAAAAACAAAAACTTTTTAACAAAAAAATAAAAACCGACTTCAAACAAAAGCACTAAAAAGTTAAAAATAACTGATTGGTAGTTTTCATTTACTATACATACCTAATCAAATATTTTCGAAGTCCAAATCTTGTGTTACTTTGGCGTGAATGAATTAATTAATAACTTTCAGATCTATAATAAATACATTTATAACAATTTTTATTGATCTTATAAATATAAGATCAACATAAATCATTAGAGAGATCTTATAATATATTAGTCACAGACGACTGCATCATTCCCATAATGCAAATATATATCATTGCTTAAAATAAAAGGTCGATAAAGCATTAAGCTTATACAAAGTAGAAAGTAGCTAACCTAAATATATTGTCAATTTTAATAAAAAATGTAGCATTTAACAGCAGGTATATAGTATAAAGTTACAATAATCTATACTTATTGTGCCTGTATATATGTACATAGTAGGTGCGTACCATGTACCGTTCGATGTCGTTAAATAAAATACACTTACTTTAAGTGCTTCTCATTATTTGTCTGAAATAAGTTCACCAAAGAGCTGCTCTGGAGGAAACGAATGAAACAAAAATGTCAGATAAATTATGAACGTGATCGATGATAAAAATGTTGGTTCGTAAGTCGTAGAAAGTGTCTCGACCTCCGAGCTTTCGTTAAATCGCCGACACGCAGGTCAGCCAGCTTCAGCGTACATAAATATGTCGACAGCTCGCCCCTGGTACCACTTTGTTTGTTAATATACTGCCAATTATAATCAAACCGTACTTGCCACTGTCAGCCGTCAACTTCTTAATCCATACATGGATTGCATTTCTTTAGTCACTTTTGTTTTCGAGTGCAACGTGTCCACGCTTACATTTTCATTTTAATATTTTAAATTTGGATGTACATTAACAACATTGTTGTTTTAATTAGTTATAATAAAGCTGGTTTAAAAATGTATCAAATATATATTTAACTAGCATTACCCGCAGCTCCGCCCGCGTTTAAATGACCAAAAACCAAATTCTTAGGTTTTACATATTAGTATACTATTACATTGCAGTTTTTAGATTTTTTATCAGAAATGAGACATTTTTCCGCGGTAAAAAGTATCCTATCTGTTGACCCGGATAACCAGCTATCACCATACCAAATTTTATCAAAATCCCTCCAGTAGTTTTTCTGTGATGGGGTAACAGACAGACAGACAGACAGACAAAAATTCTAAAAACTGTAGATGCGGCCTCTGTATCGATAATAATGTTTATTTCAATAAGATTTTCCAAAAAATATTTAATGTACAGATTCGGCTTAGTTACAATTTTATTATACCTATGTATAGAAGAGCAAATCAAAGTTCATCAGATTTATCGCAATTTGGTAGAAAGTATTATTTTAGTGACATATTAAGTTATTATAATATTTGCCTCTTTTATAGTACTTAACACCTAAAGTAGATTGCGAAACATTTCAAATCGGAATATAGTTCCCACGCTGCGCGCACGGCATAGCGGGGCGCTGTCGTCCATCAACATCATTATCTATTAAAAATATCACGTTATTATTGTTCGCTTTCTGAATAAAGCAACTTTTTGACGACTACAACTTGTTATCGGTGTTTCATCTTTAAACACCAATAAATCACTTCTACAATAATTATGAAACAACTCTCCCTCTCTCATCCTAAATATGCAAAGTAAGAAAGGTTTGTTTGATAAATGTTTCGATTGGGCCGGTATTGTTGTCGAAATTTTTGTATGCTTTATCTTCTTATGTTGAAAGTTTTTAATCTTAAGAAATTTAATAATAAATAATATTAGATACCACGATTTGTTGTATTTTATTCCTTTTGACCCACTTTCATTCAGAAAACAAAAAAATTAGATGAATTATAGTTGTGGCACGATACAAACAAGAAATTCAAATTTATGATGAAACAAATTTTTGTCCTCGGCTTCACTTACGTATTTTATTTATATATTAGTAATTGCGTAGGTACAGTGAATAAAATGGAAAAAATAACTATGCAAATCCGCGGCGAACGATGTAATTGATATGAAGGGGTAGAGAACACTTAAACAAACAAAAATGAAAATACAAGTAATATGGAGTCCTATAGTGTCACGTTTTCTATGTTTTGAGGTACGTAAAGATAGCAATTATCTAAATAAAACTTCTGCATAAAACACCTAATTAATCAATTTTTAATGATTTTCATATGGCGATATTTATTCTCAAATATCTCAGAAACATGACATTTTGGATCATTATATTCTGATTTTTCTTTAAATGTTCTCTATCCGTATATACTCATTTTATTGGGCGCCGCTTGTTAAGAAAAAAAATGGTGGAAGGTTGTTTCAAAGTATGTCCCCTTTGGCTGGCAGTGAGATATAAGCACTATCATACAATACAAAAAAAACAACTATCTCAATTTTTAAACGTATAAAAACGTAAAAACGTAAAGCATGTATTCAGCCCTTTTTAACGTCCCACTGCTGGGCACGGGCCTCCCTTCAGTACAAGGGGAATCAGGCCATAGTCCACCACGCTGGCCAAGTGTGGGTTGGCGGACTTATTTTCCTTCACCGTAAGGCAAGTGGTAATCATGTTGAAAATAATTCGCACATGAAAATATCAGAGGTTTACCCGGGATTTAAACCCGCTTCACTCGGTTTCCCAAGCGAGCGCGTTACCACTGAGCTACTACTGCCTGTTTAAGCATAAAATGTATATAATATATAGGTCATCTGAAAAATTATATATTCATTATTAAATATGGTGATCTTTCATGGCAAATAAGATCTGCTTCTTAATATTTGAGTGCAAACAGGAATTTGAATGGGGCGGATTTGTTCGTAATTGTGCGCGCAGCCACGTCCTAGAAACCTCACCGAACTGCATCGTTACGGCCCTTAAGACTGATTTATGCTCGTAATAAATATTTTTTTTAAGTTCCAGTGCGATAATAACTCCATTAATTTTGATTAATGACAATTTCTTAAAAGTGTTTTAACTTAACCATCAGGCATGCCATATTCGATGACATACCTACATATCTTTCCCGGGATGGTATTGAACATTTTAATTAAATTGTTTTTTCACGTATTTGTTCTTGTTTTGATTTATATTCAACATTTTCATACTTTCTTTAAGTAACTTTATAAGAAGGTGAATGTTTTTAAGAAATAATAAACAGTAATTTTACAGTATAAGCAATGCCATTGTATTTTTATTAAAATAACGTTAAAAACGTAAAACATGAGTAACTTTTTGATGTTAAAAATAACAATTTCTATGCAAGAAACACATTCCTCAGGGCGCTTATCGTTAAGCAAGCCGTGGCGGCGCGGCGCGGGCGCAGTCGCGGCCAACACATTCAACGAATTTGCAATGCGCGATATCCCGCATTACCATAAACAGTATAAGGCGGAGGGCACGCCGTCTATCGCGCTAAGACATATAAATTATTCAAAATAAAGTATCGCTTAACCCCTGACCCGCTGCCGCGAGCCGCACGTTTGCTGCGCTACGCCATCGCGTCGTCGATGCTTTTGTCTAAAGCAATTCTTTTGTCTTACGAGACGCTTATATCCTAATGTGTAAGAAACTCAAAAAATTCACTAAATATCCTCTGATGTTACCGGTAGCGATGCATAGATAAATTGAATAGAATTTTTAACACTGTAGAATTAATAGGTATGCTAATATATCTTAATTGGGTTATTTTATTTATATTTTATTATAACCCGTCTCAGATCATTAAGTAATGTCGTGGATTTGAAGGTCGTAAATGTAATAAAGAGTGATTGATAATTTACAGCTTCGCGACGGTTTTGAAACATTATATACGGACATACATATGTACATATATAACATAAGTTCGTTTAAAGGCAGGTCTTATGAAAGACAAACAATAAAATTATAGTTTTATGCTTCGTGAGTAGGTGAACGCCAGTAGGGCGGTCGCGTGCCGCGTGCAAGGGTGGAGTCGCGCGCACCCGGCAGGAACTACGGGACAACTTGAGCTTATTTACTCAACAGCTTTCGCAAAACAACCCATTAGGGATAACTGTACTAAATAATTACTGCAATGTGCCTTTCTATTTCTATGCGCGCTTCGTTGTGCGCGTGCGCGTCCACCTGCCGCTGATCAGTGTAATTATTTACTATGCATGAATGCGGCGGCGGCGATGGCGGCTGTCTAGGACGATTCGGACAAAGAACGGTCATGTATAAAGATACAACGGACGCTCTGTGGACAGGTTCCTACATCTACTTGGGTGTGCGCCACAACCAATTTTAATACGCTCATTAATTCACATTCGCTTATAATGACGCCTGTTAAGTATAATGAATTAATTTAAGAATATTTATTTTGGCTCTATTGCTCATAGTATCAAGTAACTTTAATTTTAGAAACACTAAAGATTTTAATAACTTGAATACGATATGAATCTTATATCGTATCAATATTACAAATGTTTAAAACATAGCATTTAATTTGAAAATTTTGTAGTCAAGATGTAGACACTCTATACCTATTCAAATTAAATTTTTTAGCTGCTTACATTTTTTCAATTGACAAAAATAAATATCTGTTATTTTTAAGTTTAAGACATATGATTTTTTTTAACTTATATTTTGATTTTGGTAGTGAAGAGTTTTTGTTACCTTGGTAGGAAAAGGAATTGCCTTATAGCTATTAATAACCTTGCCGATGTTACAAACAAAACTCAATTAGGACCTTGAAGTATCGAAAATATGTAGATAGGATGTGCTGTCTCACATTGTTGAACACGCGATTCTAACAAGATACTTGGACGATAAGCAAAAAACTAACAACAACGTTCTTAGCAATTGTATATTTTCACTGCTAGCTTTGTCCGTTATCCATATAATGATATGAATGATAACTAAAAAAGGTAAAATATTTCCTTTTTCCTATCGCTATCTAGGAATCTACTCAGTTACACCTGTCTACAAATGTGCAGTTTTATTTCAAAGATATTTTTCAATGAATAGTCAGAATTTACTTGTTTTGCCGTTTTTATAGGCAATGTTGCTATTTGTAAGGAAACGGGAAAGTAAAAGTTCCGTTTTTACTTAACTATTAAACTGCAATAAATAAATTATAATAATTATCAGTCGATGATGAATGAACTTATTCGAGCATCTTAAAATTACATTTTTTGTAATGATTTTTAAGTTTTATATTATTTCCCTGCTAATTGTTATTTATCACATGACTGGCTCTATATCAATCAAAACCAATTATGATTTTAGTATGATGGATACCAGAGATACACACAAACACAATAATAGTTTGAAAATGAGATATAATACAAATTAAGAAAGAGAAGTTCTTCGAAAAGATATTTAAAAAATTACTTAACCTAAAATTAGTAATAGACTAGTGTAGCAATAGATATCAAAGCTGTTTGAAAAACATGAAAACCATGTACGAGGGTGTTTGAATAGCAGGAAGGAAGGAAATAGATTTTGGTCTATCAGTTGACGCTATATGTTATATCATATTTTATCTATCTGAACTACTTAATAATATTGGAAGATAATAGATTTTTAGAACCAATTTTATTGTCATGCAAGTATAGATATAGAAACATAATCTGTCATACACAATTTTCCAATCGTATTTTATACTCTAAAAATTATAAAACAAAGAGAAAATGAGCACAGTACCCAAAGCTTTTAAACTATTAGACTCAAATAGGTTCACTTAAGAAATACATGCAGATTACGCATGAATTTTATAGCATAAATAATGCCAAATATACATAATCGTTCATAATAATTTCACGGACGAGGTTGCTTTAAGATTAATGATCTTATTTCAAACTAGCAATACCCGCGGCTCCGTCGGCGTTCAGGTGACCAAAAACCAAATTCTTAGGTGTTATGTATTAGTATACTCTTGCATTGCAGTTTTTGTATTTTTTCTCAGAAATTAGATATTTTCCCGCGGTAAAAAGTATCTTATATGTTGACCCGAATAACCAGCTATCATCATACCAAATTTCATCAAAATCTGTTCAGTAGTTTTCTCGTGATGCGGTAACAGACAGACAGACAAAAATTCTAAAAACTATAGATTCGGCATCTGTATCGATAATAATGTCTATTTAAATTTTCCAAAAAATATTTAATGTACAGATTCGACTTAGTTACAATTTTATTATATGCATAGATTATAGAATAGACGTAAATCATTACTATAACAATGAGATGGCCAGCGAAATATGGTCGCAGGCAGAGTGCAGACAATGGAATTGATAAGCGACTTTCTTTTACGATGTAAACGCGTTCGTTCTTTGAATCACCATTGTACAAGTTGTAGGTGCTGGTTATTTAATTAAACCTAAATATCTAGTTCTTTTTCTACCTTAGTTAAATGATGCTTATAATTGGACCCAGTTATGCAAAAACAGCCATGTGCGTAAAAGTACCAACAGAGTTATAAGCATTTTTCTGTCGATATTTATATAAGTATTGTTTATTTTTTTTTATTATTTTTTTTTTTATAATAAAATGCTTATAACTCTGTTGGTACTTTTACGCGCATGGCTGTTTTTTGCATAACTGGGTCCAATTGCGCTATTATACATTGTGTTAACGTTAACTTATCTTATAAGTAATTCTAAATATATGTAAATATTTTATGTTATATAGATCCTGTATCTTTTAGTTTCTGATGAATCATCGAAATTAATAAAGCAATGAAGCAAAGAATTTGCCGAATGCAAATTTGTATGGTATACGTCTTTTTTATATGTATAATATTTATTTTATGAATATGTGGGCAAAAGTTTTGCTAAATTAATATTATGCAACAAAATGCTATATGCATTTTGTTGCATAATATCAATTTTTGTAATTACTGAAAAAACATGGAAGATTTATAGTATCCTACTACATCACAAAAATAGAAAGGCGTTGTTCTGCTATTTAATTATATAACCAAGGTCTTCGTTATTAAAATGAAAAGAACAATATATTTAAAATTGGCTACTAAAATATTCCACTAATATGCCCAATGAGATATAAATAACTAATTTTGATTTTATCTCTGTGCCAACCAATTTGAGTCTAGAAGGTTATGGATGAATAAGCTATAAAAAATGAGACGTTCAGTTGATATCCGGTGACTGATGCTGTTCTCATAAATATTTATACTTGGTATTGAATAAAAGTAAAAGTGAATCTATGAAGCTTAATGGTTAATGCACGAATGTTACGTTCAACTGCCCTTATCTAAATTCCTTTACTATTACAGCTCTTAATATACATTTATTTATTATAATTTTTTTGCAATGACTTTTATCATCTTAAATAAATTTATATAAGGCATATTTCCTTTCGTTATAAAAAAAATATATTTATTCAAAATAATCATTAAAATAGAAAGAAGCTCATGTAATAACATACACACAAAAATAAGCATCAGAGTTAAGGACCATCCTTTTTTTTCAAGTCGGTAAATAAGCAAATGAAGTTTCATTTTTTCCACCTCAAAATAACATAATAGTAAGATGTAATTAGATATTAAAATAAGTAGATTATCTAGGAAGGTTAAATCTATAAAATTAATTATTATTTGCACAATCTTTAATCGCTGGTAAGTTTTAATGGCTACGATTCATCACACTCTCCGGTTTTTACAGTGTATCACAATCTGAATCCACTCAGCTGCAAGGTCGTCGGGTACAAAAAAACGGCGTCTTGTTTTTGCTCCATTTTTATTCTTGAAGAAAAAGAATATCAGAACGCAGTTTTGGAAGTGCCCGACGCCGCGCCGATCTCGCCGGCGCGCCAACTGGTCCATGCAGGAAGTTGATCCAATTCGACAACAAAGATTTATGTGTTTTTCTTACGCCTTTTTAAAAATTAAAATTGAATTTAAAATTAAGATGCCGATAACAAACATATCATAATGAGATAATTACCAAAATAGAAATAATCGCAGTATCGTATACGTTTTCCTTCCTATTATAATCCTTTGAATCACTTTGTACTTAAAATCATCCTCGATTTATTACATTTATCTGTAACAGTATTTTATTGTAGGCCATGGGGCATTTTGCTACACAACTTACAAGCGTTATGCAAAATACGAAGCGCCTCTCGATTCTCAGATACCTATCTATAAATAAAGACAACAGATCGTGGGATTGCGCAGGTGAACGGCAATTTTGATATGTTATTTTAGTTTAACTGTCTCGTTCATAACATTACCGCCTTCCGTCTACACTATAATGTTTCATTTCATTTAGATTTAAAATTAATGTCCTCCTAGCCATTTTAATTTCTATTGTCAAAAATGATTAACAATGTGCTAGAACTGTTACAGATGTTACTTTCAAAAGCCCATTCGCGAGGTAATAAAAAGCGTCGATTATTGAGATAGGAATCGCAGAACGTGTTGAATCGTTTATGATATTAAGCTTTCTATGGTAGTG